ATATGTTATTTGTGCTATCAGCTTCCGAAGATAAATCAATCGGAATTGTTAGGTTTATTTAATAAAGTAATTGAGTTGTTCGTGTATGAAGACACGATTACTCCTTTATTATTATTGTGGGGTTGTTGGAATTTCGAGTTCTGTTCTTTACATGAGAAATATCTAAGGCTATTTATACTTTTAGACTTCGCGACTAGCACTACTTAGCGCTATTAGCGATATTTAGCGCTACTAGCGCTACCTAGCGCTATTGCAGTATGCTTCGCATTGATGTTACATTGTGGTTATTTCATCACATTATGCCAATTACAGGGTTAACATTACTTAATACAATTTGTTACAATTGATCAAAAACAGCTTTTATCTAAAGTTATCTGTAAAATTTTTGTATAATTTTTTTTTTGCCGAAAAGGGTAACTTATTTTTGGAAATATAAGGTATTTATAAACTCGGATTTATATTTATAATAGTGACTGGACTCGTAAACTCGTAATTCGAATAACTCGAAGTTATCATGAAATTTAATTCGAGAGTTACTCAAATTAAATAATTTTATTTTCGAATTACTCGAATAACTCGAATAAAATAATTGAAAATCATATGATTCAAGCACTCTTTTGAATTTAATTCGTGAGTCGCAATTGAAACGCGTCCAGTCACTAGTTTGTAATTATCAACCATTGGTGGGTAAATGAATAATTATCGTTATATTTGGACTGCTATTAATAAAACCAAGCAGATTCATCTAATAAATCTGATTGATTTCGAATAAGTTATTAATTAACGCTTACAGCATAATACAGTATATAGTTATTAACGTTTGATATAAAATATATTTTTAGGTAACCAATCCCAATCGGGTAATAAAAATTAACCAATCATATAAATATCGAAATCTGCGTTCTTATGTATAAAAATATCGATATTTTGACTAGAATATCCAAGCGTTTTAATGAGGATATACATCAATGATAAATGATGGATGGGTATTGTTATAAAGAATTTCTAGGGATGTTAAATTGCGAATCCAGTCCGGTCCGATCCTAGGATCTAAAAAGACGGTCCTGGATTCGGTCTTGAAAATACAATACATTTTATATGACTTAGATCCTGCATCAGATACTGAATTGAATTCATCAAATAAGTTAATCCAATCAAATTAATTTTGTATTGTTATAATAATTCAATTCAGAATCTAAGTCTTATAAAATGTATTGTGTTTTCATGTGATTTAAGGATCGAATCCCTACCAATCCTTGAAGGATCGGACCGGACCGGTCAGGATTCGATCCCAAAGGACCGATTAACATCCCTAAGAATTTCATACATAAACAATCCGAACTATTGTAATTATTGAAGTTTTTTAAAAATAGTTCTTGAAGATATGGTGTAACAAATCTACAAATTAATAATTGTTATTTATATAATACAAATTTAATGCATGTGGTTATACAAAATAATGAACTTGTCTAAATAAATAAATAAATAATTTTGAATATTAATAGCTTTTAACTTTATATAATGCAACTTGAATTTTATAAAATTTATTAATAGATATAGCGATAATTCGAGAAATTATATGCTATATAGTATTATATATTAATATCACTTCTAAATACATTCAAACATCGCATGATAACCATATATCTGGAATGTTTTATTACAAATGTTGCAATGTTCTTGCAGAAAATTGACATGATCACTCTTAGATGTTAATGCTAATGCATTAAATAAATAAATAGCTAAATAAATAAATAAATATTCTTGTTAAATAAAAGTATTTAAAATAATTGCCTCTATAAATACACGTATTCTATTGTAAAATACAGATGCATATGTGATACAATTAATGATATCTTGATCTTAAAATGTAAAACCTGTAGTTTTGACCCCCTTATTTTTAGATCTCTAGTCAATAGAAATGTTTATCAATTTTGGTATTTGAACATTAAAACTAAATTACATGTTTATAAATATTAAATAAATAAATTCAACCGTTACATAATATTATGTAGGTGGTGCATAACCAGAGACAAAGTCTATTAATAAATTCAAAATTCAAAGAATTGAATGAATAAAATGAATTAAACAACAAAATAAGTAATAAATTGATCCGAATTAACTTACTCTTCGACCTGATACTAGAATTATTTCTTATTCTTTTCAGCGTTTCGAGTGCATTATCAATTCGTGTAATCCATTCCGTTTTTTCTTCAAATGTTGTTGCTCGAACCGTGTGACATGCTTCCTTTCCTTCCGCTGTGGTGGTGATTATTTGAAAACAAAAGGGTTGATCTGCTTCATCATCTGCAATATCAATCCGATATGCATTATTCAAATCAATTTGCCCAGTGTACAAT